ATTTTTTTCCTCTTCCATTTTCGCCTAAAATCAACTCTTAAAAAGATACATAATTAAATAGGAAGAAAAATATGACATCTTTCGAATTTTTTTAACATATTGTGCCGCCAAAAGTTAAGCCCACGTTTTTTTTTATGCGCATAGAAAAATTTTCATTTGTAGTGATATTTGAAAGCCAAATAGCCAAAAATCTCCGTGGATATACGATTCACCCAAATATGGCTTTTTGAAACAGATACCGTCTGGGCTAATAATAGGTGTCTGGGAATGACCTAGAGATGAATAAAATTTAATTACCTTAAAATAAACATGCTCTAAAAATGTTCTTTTGTCATTTTCAATCGTATACCTACTTCTGTCTACTATTCCAGTTTAAAACAAACAAAAGCAAAATAAAGGCAAAATAGTGAATCGATTCATTGAAATTGTCTCGAATTACGTATATTTTTTTTTATAATAATATGATCACTAAATGAGGGTCTAAGATCCTAGATCACTCTTAGGTCTTAAAAAAGGAGTGTCGTTATGTTACAAAGAAACTCTAGTGTACTCTGCTTGCGAGAAGAAGAAAAAATATTGCACTTTTTAATATTCAAGGTGATTCGCGTTCAGTCATTAATTCGTTCAAGGTTATTCTTTAACAATTCACAATGGGTAAAGTTATATACTGACCGCTAGATTTTCCTTTCATCCGAATATAGTTATATATTTATCATCTTATCATCAAAGCAAGAAAATATATCAACATATATGTTAAGTAACAAAGGATTCATAATTGAATCCCAGATAATGCGCTAAATTATGTCGAGTAAGGCGGTCGAAATATTTCGTCGTGTATAAATTGTATCAACCTGAGATTGATTATCACAGGTTTCCGTTATTGAAAGAAGATTAGTATTAGTGGAACTGCCTTTCATAAATCCATGCCATGCAAGGAGCTAATATACTTACATGATTATATAGAGTGAATTACAGTTTGAAATGCATTAGCCAAGTTTGGAATTATTGTAATTGTACTGTATTTAGATGGTTGTTCGAGATAGAAGAATTAATTCAAAATATAAGGAGTAAGCCATTAATAAAAATCTAATGTTCCATTTGTCTCCACCAAGAATCGTACATACAGGGTGTTCCAGATAGACCTTCAATTAGACGTTTCTGGAAAACTACGCGTAGTGGAATTCTGAAAATTTATGTACGGGGGGTTTCTCCTAATGTTCTATCGATTGAAAATATTGGCGTCGCCGTGGAACTTCCGGTTCTACCGGAAGTAGACGTCAAGCTAACTATCGGATTATATTCGTCTCTGTACTTATGTTCAAATATCTCAAAATCTGTGGGATTTAGGTATAGGGAATACTTATACCAATGGAAAGAGAATTAACAGGTGCATCTACTGGCATTATAAAACACAGGGTGTTCTATTTAAAATAAGCGAGTTATTAAACTTTTAATTTGACACAATTGGTCCGAGTTTTTTAGACGCCCTGTGTAACATGCACCAATTTTCGAATATTCCAGATATTTGCACACGTTTTGGTATTGACCGTCTAAAATTTCAGCTTCCTATCTTAAAAATTGGAAGGGATAGAACCGATTAAGTGTGTAAGTGGATATGTTTTTTTTCAAAAATTTTGAAAAAGTCAAAATATTTCAAAAACGATTGAGTTTAAGGATAAAGTAAGGTTATGAAACTTACCTTAAAATTCCATGTAGAATCCAAAAATTAAATAAAAAATAGTACATTCCATTTGAAATAAGCGAGTTGACGTCTACTTCCGGTATAACCGGAAGTTCCACGGCTACTCCAATATTTTCAATCGATAGAACATTGGGAGTAACCCCAGTACATAAATTTTCAGAATTCCAGTATGCGTAGTTTTCCAGAAACGTCTAATTGAAGGTCTATCTGGAACTAAGTGCAACTTTTTCAGTCATTTTTTTCTCCTTAAAATTAATAAAATCATCAACATTTTTTAGCAGCATGATAATATAACTCTTTACGAAGAAAATAAACCGAAAATCGTTACTGTAGGGCTATCCGCTGAGAAGATCTAGCCAATTTTCGAGAGCGCCTTTTTTTCAAAAAATCGATATATCTCGAAAAATAATTAATATTTTTAAATTTTTCAAAAATGTACTTTTTTGGCTTGCCGCGGGCTATGCTTGCAGTAAATAGCAAATATGGACACGTAAATGTAAACAAGTTATAGAAGAAGA